ATATATATATATATATATATATATATATATATATATATATATATATACCTGATCTGAACACAGTGAATTGTAGAAACAAAACGAAATGAACGATTGCAGATGTGATGATGGTCACCGAGAAGAAATACTTCCAAATTGAATTTAACCGGATTGTACGGTGGCCAAGTAAGGAGTACAGTGACAAAGATCAATGATACGAAATAGGAGCACACAGGTGATCGATCAAATCTTACCTTGAGACCCATATAAGCGAACCATTTAGACCATTCTTCTGGGGGATCGCCCAAATCTATATTTAGAGGATCTTTATCAGCCTGATTCAACTGCTCTAGAGGTACAGTGTCCATCTAAAACAGAAAGATATCACAGAATTGTCACGAACGTTTTGAAAAAGTACGCCATAAAGCCAGAACTTTGGGCAACAGATGGAAAAGAAATAAGAAAGTGTTATAATTTGAGGCAAAATTTCATGTACAAATAATCAGTCAATGAGCAATCTGAATTCATGAGATGTTTGGAACAAAATAGACGCTGGCGGCTTCTTCATCCGAAGGCAAAAACGTGGCCCGCCCCATGGCTCCTTTGTTGAACATCCGTAAAACATGCGCGGCTGCACGTTTCACATCTGGACGTGGGAGAGTGCGCAATTTCGAGTCACTTAACGATTCGATTTCTGTGGCGGACCAGGATGGATGTCTCCACGGTTGGTTCCGATCGGAAGGTAGGAAAAAACTGTTTGTCGCGCATACCCGGGCCAATAATTCGTGCACATTATCCGTAGGTCCAGGTAGACCTAATACGGAAACGTATTCCACCCGATTCCGGTGATTCCAATAGAACAGAAGGTAGTCAACTAACACTTCTGAGGGGCAAAATAAAGGGTAAATTGAGACGGATCGTCAGAAAGTACTGCATATTCAGAATCACTGATAACTAATCAGTCAACTGCGAACATGCTCAATGCATCTGACCAGCAGCACATTTTAACTAACCAACCGCCCTAAGCGCGTTATTTGTGCAATCAGACCATTTGGGTTTGTCCAGTTTGGGGGTTGCATATGAAGTACATTCTGGTGCCCAAAACGCAGCCAGTATCTCTGTATCTCTTTGTTGCATGCACGTACGGGTGCTTCTATGAACTGAGTCTGTTGGGGAAATCGGATAAGTAATGTTGAAGCTAGGCGCAGAGTTTTAGGCATCCGTAGTCGTGCACTGGAGCAAATGGTCAACCGCACAGACTACGTTGGTTGGGGCATGTGTTGCGCATATCACCAAATAGATTGCCACGGCGCGTGTTGTTTTCCGAGGCAGGCAGCGGATGGAAAAGGCCAGGGGCGGTCAAACTAAGACCTGGCAAGAGGGTATGAAGATCCTGACCAGGATACTGGTTCCTACAGACCACGTTAGACTTCCTGGATGGGGACCTAGGGATTATCGTAATCAATGGTTAGAGCCATGGCGCTACTTGGCTGTGTCGTAAACAGAAGCACTCGTGCATCAACTCATTATCCTTGCAACCTTAACCTTTAGGAATTTTTTTATGTCCACTTTGACACCGATTTAAAAATTCCTTTTCTTTAATCATTCGTCCAGATAGGAAACCGTGAGACAGCAACCAAAACTGGCGCATGAGTGCATGATTAATCGTTGTAAAAGCTGAAACTGAATGTACCGTTTACGACAGACAATGATAGTTTAGAGACAGCCATCTCCGATTTAGAGTCTATGAACACAGTGTACACAAACTATAGACAAGCAAATGAAGGGACTGGCAAAAGAAACATGAAGATGATGCACAGACTGAGTGCCAGTACAAACGTGAAATTTTGAACGCATTGGAAAAAATGGCCCAACAATCAGTTTTTCGCTAGGTTAGTGTACTTTTCAGTGCTCTGAGTCCAACAGTTATAATTTACTTGTGTGGAAGGAACAAAACACGAACGCCATGATTACTCATATCAGCGTTTACAATGCAAAAATAGTGGGAATAACATCAAAATACTCTGATTACATTGTTTATGTTTTCATACACACCGAGAGCATTCCATTGTGTGGTGGGGGTGGATAGCGTAATCGACTAATTCTACAGTTTCGAGAGAGAGGAAACATAAGCAAACAAACAATCACAGGCGAACAATGGTTTTCATGGATTCATTTTTTGGCCTGTACAGATCACACAAGGAAGCATGTTGAACGAGGATAGACATTCAGTCATTCAAAAGTCACAATGATTGGTTGGGACTGTGACTTTTGAATGACTGAACGTCTATCCTCGTTTAACATACCATTGCCTTATATGAGCTGTACAGGCCACAATATGAATCAATGAATACAACTGTTCGCCTATGAACGTGTGTTCATAATGGGCATATTCTGGAATGCAAAAGCAAGCCNNCAAGCCTCGCCAGTACCTTGATCCACGATACCCCAGTCTATTGCTCCACAAACACAAAGACTCAACTGTTCCGGCAAACTGCGAGCACGAGGTTCCAATATGCCCGGTGTATCGAGCATCATGATTCGGGGTTCATAGATTTCCTGGCCAGTATGGACCTGATTGTGCAACGGACTTGAACTGCCTTTGGAAATCACAATTGGTTGACTGACCGCTCTCGTCAGACCGGCATTTCGACCCACACGTGCTGCACCTCCGGCACCCCCGTGTCCGACGCCTCGCNCCTCGCAACGCATTGATCAATGTGCTCTTCCCACTATTTGGTAAACCAACTGCCATTGTTAAAATGGTGGGAATTGCGTATGAACTTTCGTCGGGCATAAATTCTTTTCTCGGTAATCCGGGTTCCTTCATAGTTTGAACGAGCTGAGGGATTCTGTGCAGGAAAAGTGAACAGAATATACAGCGACCGGACCAGAAACACATATGGCGATAACAATGCAAAGTCAAAAAGATTTCACTTAGCGATAGACAAAGTGTATTCACAAACAAGAATGACAAAGAAAACGGTTGTATGACTGACCGAGTGAGCGGAACAGAGGAACACCTAGATGAGAAAAACACGTAATTTTTGACGGTGAACAGCAAACCCCTTTGCGTTCATGTGGCGAGGCAATAAGTTCACCGATCGATTGAAAGCGCAAGAGCCGAATAGGGCCAAATATATTGGTTTTGGTTTGAACTGACCATCGTTCAGACAATCCTCAGTTCATTCAGTCAACCAAACACCCGGAAGCAATGGACTCCAGATTCTCTCTTATCAGAGCTCATCAGTTATTGCATATCCATCATCATCGTACAGCAAAATACAGTGAGGCGAACTTCGCTGATCGTTGCCAAACTCGCAATACTTACAGAGTTGGTGGGACTATGTAAGATGGTTCAGTTGCACTTTTATCCGACGAAACTGGGTTAAGTGACAACGGGTGATCACAACTCACACACCCTCCTGAATCGCCTTTGTTTGTGGTGGGGAGGGCTGGCCGCTTTGTGTTACTCGTGAAAAACAAGTCACGGTTGTCATTTGTTTCAAGATGGACATAACGGCTGATGACAGGCCCATTTGGTCTAGCTGAACACACAAGACTCAAGCAATTTCACATTATTTCTCAATCCCTGCGTTGACATCAGATTCTTACTGGGCCCATCTATTCTTTTAAGTGATCCAGTTTGGAGAAAACGCTCTTTACATCGTTTCACAGTTGAAGCCGAGGCTGTTCCTATGGCGCATTGAGACGTTTGAATTTTTCTCAGCCCCGAAGACTTCATCCGGACCAAACGCGCTTTGTTCGTTAAGTCTGTCTTGCAACACGTGTCAAATGTGACTTGTTTTTCACGAGCAATGAAAGGTCAACACAAAGCGACCAAGTGTCCCCACCACAAACAGACAAACGATTCAGGAAGGTGTGCGCACGGGCTTGTGAGCTGTGGTCACCCATTGTCACTTGACAGTTGCGTCGGATAAAAGCGCAACTGAACCGTAGCTGAAAACTTGTATCAGCAGTGCGTTTTCGTTTTGGTGCATCACCTGGTCTATACGCCCGGTCACACTGAGGACTGGCGCTACGGC